TAATAATAATAATAGTTAATAATAATAACAGCATTTATATAGCGCATACCCATGCTCAACGGCATGCTTTATTCGAGTTTCAACTGAACACTTTTATTACCCCAGCAGACATCTTGCTTTTATAAATAGCCAAATACTCATTCACACTTGGGTGAAATGATGAAAATGTGTGTAAATCATCAGCTTTCCGAAGGACGCAACATCGGGTACCTGATGGGGTTCAAGCCCAGCTTACGGTTGAGAGTCTGAGAACCTAACCACTAGATCTCTGACGTAATGACCCTTTGTTCGGAATGGGGGTTGGGGGTGGGGGTGGTGGTGGTTGGGATTTAACAGTTATTAAATTACTTCCGCGATGGCATTAATTAACGGCCGTGATATTTGCCAATGCGACAGGTCTCTCATGACATGTGTTTACTTTTCTCCTGTCACCTTCTACAAATGTACTACATTATGTACATATATTGTATTATTATTTTACAATCGGCGTCGGTGGTGTAGTAGTTATGCGCTTGGCTGTCGCACGCAGAAGACCCGAGTTCGATTCCTGAGTGTGGAGAATCTGTGTAGAGTATCTCGGTCTTTCTTCTGAGACGTTTGTATCCCTCTTAGTCCGGGTTGAGCCTGGCAGGCATGGTCGAATCCCGCCTCGTAAATGGTCTAAATTGTGTCGCTGTTGACATAAAAAAGGCAACCCCAAAAATACACTTAGAAAAAGATAGCGTAATAATGTTAATACCAACTTCCGTGTTAGTTTTTTTCACATTTCATTGGAAGGGGTTGGGGGGTGGAGGAGGGAGTCAAATGTCGGAGGGTGCAAATTTATTATTGACGGGTAAAAAATAACCCCAGGGTACTTAATCACACATCGAGATTTACATAACGAAGGAGGTGTGGTGACAATTCGGCCACCTCCCTCGTGATAAACAAACAGTGTCACTTTCATTTGCTCGGCGTGCACTCATGGAAACACTGATGCAGTGGTGTAGGGGTTAGGCGCTTTGCTGTCGCACACAGGAGGCCCGAGTTCTATTCCTTAGTGGAGAGAAAATTGTCATCGTGTATGTCGGCCTTTCTGTTGGGATGTTGCATCCTTCTCATCCTAGGATAGCCTTGGCAGGCAGGTTGGAATATTGCCTCCTAAATGGTGTAAATTGCGTCAACGGAGACCTAAAAACACCTAAATTAAAGCAAAGCAGAAACAAACAAATAAACAAATAGCCCCTCCCAACAACCCCCCCCTCCTTCCCAACCACATGGATATTTTGTTAAGCTCAATGCACGTTTATTGAATTGAAAGGTCGGTTTGTGGGCCAGCGCTTTGCCCGACTTAGAGCAATAGAGCTGGTATTCTTCACGATTTTGTTGGTGAATGTTGATGGCGGGTGGAGGGGCGGCAGGCGTTCGAATGATGTCGGATATATTATGTTGGATAGATGTTAGGAAGATATCGATAAGGTAAGGTAGTTGTCAGGAAGGTGTCGAGTAGGTGGGTAATTGTCGGGCATAATATGTTGGGTAGATGTCGTGGTAGATGACGGGTAGATGTTGGGCACATAACGGAGAGATCTTGGGTAGCTTCCGAGAAGGTTGAATAGACGTCGGGCAAATGTCGGGTCGATGCTGGATACATGTTAGGCATGTGCTGGGTAGATGGGTAAATGTTGGGTAGATTTAGAGAAGGTTGGGTATATGTTGAGAAGGTGTCGGGTAGGTGTAGGGTTCAAGTCAGGTATATATAT